GCTCATCCATGATTTATCTCAGTGAAATATTCATTATGTAGCCTTGCATAGTCTGGACGTATCTGATGTGAATCTGGACCTGACAGCTCTGCTCCGTCATCACACATCACCTGAGCCACTCTGAATCCGGCACCTGTCTCCCAGTGCTCAACACAGAGGCAACTAAACTGATCCGAATGAATAGAGGACTCTGGTAGATATAAAGAATCCATCTGTCTGCCTTTAGCCTGCAGGCATGTCCGCTCTGGAGCTACTGTATCCTGCTTGCACACCGACCGATGGATCAGCACAGCAAAGGAGCTACTCAACATTTCCCATTCAATTAACCAGAGTGCGAGAGGCCTCTGTCCTGACTGATGCCGATGCGCGAGACACGACGAGTACATGTGTTTGGCCCCTGCACATGATCTGCTGACAGCATTGGCCAGATGTATTGATCTGTAGAGATTGGTGAGCTTGTTATGGGAGGTGAGTAGCATGGGAGTTCAAAAGCGCTGAGTTGATTTTGATAAATCAACAGAGCCAAAAAGGAGGAAGGGCAAAAAAAAAAAGTTTTAAAAGAGCCGTGATGTGGTGAACAGACAGAAAGGCTGAAGCAAAGTAGGTTTCAGCACCACGGACAGCGCCGCAGAGCCTACACCGCTCAGACTTCTCTTTAATCACAAAGTTATCACTATGCCTGTCCAATTAAGTAACCTTTGAATTATTCCATAAATTAAAATTTCTGAAATACTGTCTAATAGCGCTGAAATGATCACAGGGACAACAGTGACAACTCATTTTCCTACATAACACTAATTCAAGTGGTTCCAAAGTCATTATACTCTGAAGGACTAATGTAATAAGAAAAATGTAACTGCAGTGAATGATGATATTAATAATGTATTCATGTGAGACAGAGACTAGAGCAGTGGCCTAAGCTGAGGAAGGTAAGAGGGAGAAAGTGATAGCTGTGAAGAAACAAGGTCGTCAGCATTCCCTCCTGCCTTACTAGTCATTTCATTATCTCATCCCTTTCCTCCTCTTTAAAGTAGGAAAAGCGGGAGAGGCTATTGACCCCTCTCTGTGTTCGTGGCAGGCAGCAGGACAAATGAAGTTTCCCCTCAGACCCCCTCCGTATTAATATCATAATTATCCCCACCTCTGTGCCCCCGCCGGCCAGCACAAACTCCACTGTCTGATTTGATGGAGAGGCACAAGCAGGGAATTACATTCGATTAGCACTAAACAAGAGAAGGGGACACGGAGCAATAGAATCAATCTGTGCCACCAGGACAAGCAAGATCCTTTGCATCAATGAGTGTGTGTCTTTCTGTCTGTGTATGTGTGTCACGGTAGCTTGGACGTGGAAAGACTGCGCATAAGCAAATTTAGATATGATAGTAAATATAAGTAACAGCATTTAAAGAGTAGACATAGTGCTAGAATGTTTGTGATGAGTTGCAGACTTTGTGAGTATTTTTCTTTTTTTTTGGCAGTGTCGAAAATACACCACGGAACAACACATAGCCCAATTTTTTTTTTTTCCCTCCAAATCCACTGAAATTGGAACTTTTTTGTAAGTAAAAAACCCACACAGTCCGCTCTGGGCAGCTCCCTGTCTCAGCAGCAATTTGGATTCATTGTTTGCAACCCCAGATAACTGCGGTGGTACTTTTCTTCAGTCTCAGCCATTTGCGGGGATGGGCCAGACATTCTGAAGTGGTCTAATGCCATAGAGAGGTGGAGGTAGTGTGGCGGGGATGAGCAGATTGAGAGTGAGAGGTGAAAAGAACAAAAGAAAATGAATGGAGTGAGAGAAGACCCCCCTCACAGGTCTTTATTCCTGTCCCCTGTCTCATTACCCAGGCTTTGACTCAATAAAGAGTGGATAAAGAGTAGATAAAGAGGCACACACCCACTGGCTAAAGCCCTCTCCCTAAAACACCTTGCACCAACCTCACTTTGCCTGACTTTCTTGCTTTTAGGCTTTCTTGCACTGTCACACATATATCCAAAAAATACCCACATATACACACTGTCCCCTTTCTCCCTATTCCATTCTTTTTTTTTTCTACTTCAAATCTTTAAATCCATCTTTCTCTCCAACTCTCCCTTCAGTGTTTTTTTTATTTTATTATTTTTTTATCCTAACTTTTTAAAAGTTGTGTCCATCTCACTCTCATTCACAGTCTGCCTCTACCCTCTCTGTCCTTTGTGTTCCCTCCCTGTTGGTGCTGTGTAATAGGAGTTATTTTCATCCCTGTCTCTCCGTGACTGTGGCCGCTGGATGGCTGAATATTTACATTTTTCACTCACTGGTGACCTTTCCCTGTTGCCGCTCTGGGAGCTCCAGTCTCCTTGCTGCTCTGCTGTTGACAGAGTACTGCCTGCAAATCTCATATGGACACAGCAAATGGTACACAGGGAGTCAGGGACAGAGGGTTCAGAGACTCGAGGAAGGTGGAAAAAGTGAGAGGGAGAAGAAGAAGAAAGAGACTGTAACCAGGCGGACTGTCAGTTGTCTGACGGAAAGTGGCTTGAAGAGACAGAGGTGCAGAAGGTCTATCTGCATCTGCAGAGATACGGACTGAGGTGTAATCCTTTACCTCTGGTATCACCATGACTGTGGTTTCTTGTCAGCACAGATGGTCTGCAATAAACCGCCTGAAAAGAGATGTAAATCTGGGGCTCCAGGAATGCTCGGTGCCAAAGAAAATACATGGTTGCAAATACATGTTTTTGTTTGGCAGCAGAAGGCACTCTTATCTTTGAATGAGCGGATGTTTTAGTTGCACACATGTAGCTTGGAGATGTAAGAAGATCTGCTGAGCCGTGTGAGAGGTGTAGGGCAAAGGATTCACTAACCAGTTGTCCTCAGTTGCTGCTCTCCAGTAATAGGAAAGAAAAGTTGAGTCAGTGAACTCCTCAAAGTTTGATGAGTGTTTATGTGTTTATGTGTGTGTGTGTGTGTGTGTGTGTGTGTGTATCTTGCAGCTGGCACAGAGAGAGGCTGGAAATGAAGGTTGCAGTTTTAAAAACTGAGTGACCCAGTCTGACCCCAGCTCTATGTTACTTGCTCTCTGTATAGAGTGTGTGCACGTTTTCTGATTGTCCATGTGTCCCTTTGTTGTGTATGTGTCAAGAGTAACTTCAGGTGACTCTCACTGGACATGTTCCCATGTTTCACCCCAGTCATGTTACTTTACGGCAGAGTTTGACTCAGTAGAAGGATAGAAAAAAGATGGGTTCAGATTATTCAAGCCTGTCGTAAAACAATATCATCATGTCCATATGTAAGTTGAAGCAGTTTCCATCTTTGAAAATGTTCTTCCTCTCTATACTGGCCCTAAAGAGATCCCTTGTTCTTACAATTCCATGTCAGTGGTGGGAGACAAAATCCACACTCCTTGCTCTGTGCAAATGTGTATTTGAAAGTTCAACTGAAGCTAAAATGAGGATTGGGCAGCCCAGAGTAGTCAAGTGGATGTCTCACAAAATCACAGCATTCAATAGAAAACTCCCTTTTTGTATTACTATCCTAACATTACAGTTCACTAGGGAAACCGTGAAAACCTACAACAGGAATTTTCGACCAAAAATAAAGATCACAATCGTAACCTTTGATATTAACCACTTAAGTTGATGCTTTACGCTAGTTTCAGCTTAAACTGCATTTTGTCCACAATCACTTAGATTTAAATGATTATAGGAGGGGATTTCAGCCAGTATGGAGAGAGAGAATGATTACAGCAGCCAGTAACTATTTCAGTATACATGTGGACATATAAGTAAAGCATAACAATAGAAAATATATGGATCTTTTCTTTAAAGGAGTCCTCAATACCACCGACTCCAGTAAATCAACACCAGATTACTTGGACTTTTTTAATGATATTCTGTACCTCTAATCATTTGGAAAATATATTTAAGTGAAAACAACCTAAGTGGCTTTGCTGATTGAAGTCAGAAGAGACAGGGAGACGCCTGCTTTTTGTCTGCTAGAGTTGTTATTACTGCCTGTCACACACAGTGCCAACATAGCGCGAGAGAGGAATAAACATTTGTTTGACAGCTTTTGTTTGCTGTGGGAACACTAATTATTTTGATTAGTATTTAAGCATTGTTAAGGCCAGTTTTTCTCTTTTGTCTTTTCGCTAGCGGTCTGCTCCCCTGTTTCACCAACATTCAACCGAATGGGGAGTTTGTTAGACTGCAAATGGATACGTCTTCTGGGTCTATTCAGTACAACAGGGATGTTGAGACTCGACAATTCTTGTCAGAAATTATAACTTAGAGAAATTATATTACAGGCACAGCAGCCAAAGTGTATTCATCCCAAAGATACTTTATCTTCACATATTTTATCCCATAATATACTGTATTCAAGACACAGAACCACAGTTGGATAGCTAGATAGAGAGATAGAGAAAAATAATAGAGGCTCCACAAACCCTTAGTCTCTGTGCATGTGCTTTATGCTCCCCTAAAACTGTGTGTGTGAATGGCTGTATCAGGCACCTTCCAACAATAATGGCTGCCATGCTAAACGAGACTGATGAGATGTATTGGGTAGGTGATCAAAGGACTACTATTTACAGCCACTCTCAGCCTGCAGACTTGACGACCCACAGTAAGCACACTATACTGTACAGGGAACCTCTTCCATCATGCTTTTACTGCCCATCACTGTGGCTGTTAGACAGGGGAGATGGCAAAGCTTTTAGCAGACTGAGATACCGTCCTCGTGCTGGACGGCGTGTATGGGCAATGCCATCAGAAAAGTGAATGACTGGGAAAGATAAGGGGAAATGGAGGCTGGGGAGAGAAAAGAGAGGAGAGAGAGGGAGGTGGTGGAGGGATAGGTTGATGTCTGCCTGCTGGCTGTCAGAAGAAAATGCTTCGGTTTAATGGAAACTGATATCATGCAGCTCATTCAAGTTCTTCAGGATAGGCAGGGGAGAGTCTGTGAGTAAACTAAAGCGTGGTGAAGTGCAAAGGAGGAGAAGAGGAGTTCTTACCTGGAGCAGCCAGTAGCACCTACGGTGGAAGGTGGGGATGATGGAGGAGTGGACGTAGCAGCCATACAGACACTAAAAGGTAGAAGAGAAAGAGGGACAGAAAGAGGACATTACACTACAGTAAAGTGCAGGAAATACTCTGACCTCTTCGCTGACCATGACAGCTGTGACCTTTGAACCCCCGACCTCTTTCCCCTGTATGATAAGTCCCACACGGACCTGCTGGCAGATGGTCAAGCTATTGTTCTTAAAAACAAAGACAGTGACCTGGAAGGAAAAAAAAGTGAATGAGGTTAACCAGTAAACATCTCAGCACTGTCCCAGCATCACCATATGACTCCTTCCTTCCTTTTCTTTCCTCTTTTCCACTTATATCCTGTCCTGCTTGGAAAAAGCCTCTGACAGAATGATTCAGGAGCTCCTTATTCCAACCACCCCCCCTCCGTCACCCCACAGGGCACCCCAGCACATAACTAAAAGCACAGTGTTATTAATATCCTTATCGTAAACAGATAATACTGTGCCTGGGGCCTCGTTAGAGCTCGTAGAGCTAGGCAGGCCTGATAACACCTCCTGGTATCTGGCAGAGGGGCCAGGAGACATTTTTCACCAGCCTTCAGCAGAGGCAAAGCACCATGCACTGAGGAACAGGAGCAAGGCAGCACTTATCCTCCTTCCATCCTCCATCCTGCTCAATCCTTCTCTGGGAGACTCACGGCCCTGGCTCCCAGGTGACCTAGAGGGATGAATGAGCTTGTGCTTGTTTACCACAGCAAGAAGAGTTTACACTGCTCTACCCTTGTCTAACCCTCACCAACCACGACATGGGCTGCAATTTTGTGCGATACGATATTGGAGAAAGGCGAAGGGGAAGGTGGATTGCTCTTAAGACGGGAAGCCTGGCTCTTACAAGAATAAAGCAAATAAGCAGGTTGAGGGAGCTGAGCTTCACGCCAAGCCTCTTCGGTATCAATGTTTGATTAGAAATCAGGAAAAATCCCAGCTGGCATGATATATACGCAGTTAGTCAGAGTGTACATATGCACACGGGCACCCACGCTTACTGTAACACTCGCAAATGCACATACTGACACAGCTTAACTCTTCAGCAGTTGTATATATTCAATAAGTTTAACCGGGTTTCCAGGGGAGCTGTGCGAGCGGGAAGGCAGTGGTGAAATCGGGCCAGGGTGGGGGGAGGGAGAGAGGTAGGGTGACAGTATATGGGAGGACATTGAACCACATTGCTCGGAGGACCATGTGATAAATAGGTGCCTTGAAGTGTGTTATGTGCTCGTCTTGTTTAAATAAACCCAGTTAAAAAAAAAAAAAAAAGAGCAGGGCCCGCGGAGGAGGTGAGTCTGTATAAACACTTATTTGCCAATATCAGATCGTCTTGATTAACTATACTGGAGCACCACAGCCACACAGACTGGCCACATGGATGAAAAGACACATTGCATATCTAAATAAAAAAGAACTAACAAAAAAAACACCTCACACAGGTGTACAAATGCATTTACGTGGCTGTGTGTATCCAACACATTCATACATACGAGTCCTAGCACCAATTCACAAACAAGAGTCACATCAGCTCTGACTGTTTCTCCAGGTGTTCTATTGTTCTATTCACATCTATTGTGCGCTGATTTCAATACTACCAAACTCTGCGTGTGAGAGTTTGAGAGAGTGAACCCATGCAGACTGCCTCCTGTTCTTATTTTTTTTTGCTGTACTCTCATCCATTACAGCTGTCTGAAATAGGATGTATGCCTCCTCCCACACCCATAGCTCTGCCATCCATTACTCTACGCTGGCAACGGACAGACACTTCCTCCCACACCCACAGTGAATTGAACATCACATTACTACAGTCAACTACAACAGCGACCGACTCATACATTTCCACTGTGCTGTTTTGTGAGTATTTATGTCATAAACTGTACTGTGCTCTCTCTAGGGATTAGTGATGCAATAAAGTACACTGGTCTATAAGGCGTTAAACTGTTTATGCATTTCACTACAGTCATGTGCTGCAACAGATTTGTGAAAGGTGCTCACAAACAGAAATGCCAACATTCTGTCTTTTCGATACTTTTAAGAATTTTAACACCGACGCTGACACAACTCTCCCTTCGCATTCACTGTCACAGCACACCAAAAATGGCAGACTTTTAAATGCTGCTTGTGTGCTAAGAGAACTCACTGTCTTGTTAATTCAGATTACAGAGCATTTATTAATATATCATGGTTAATGCTGCTCTAGCCTAAAGAGCTTGGCCCGCTGAGAGTCAGCTGTGGTGTGTGGCTGTGCAGTTGGATGGTATAACGCTATGGCATGATCCGCACGATTGACAGGTGGGCCGGTGCAACAGGCCTCTGTGACTAGGGCGACTGGGGAGTGAATAAATTAGCCCCCAGGCTGCTTTCCTTTCCCTCTGTTTACTCCATTTCTCAACCACACAAAGCAGCGTGCCAGACAAACAAGCAGCTTAAAGCATAACACAACTGTTGCACCTGTCAGTGCCGATATACAGTAGGCATCAAACACATTTGCACGCACACGTAAGCTTGTGAACCCTCACTCTCCTGTAACATTCCAACCAATCCACTCTCTCCCTCTCTCATACACACATACACACACACGCACGCGCATGCACACAATAAGACATTGAGCTCTTAAGCACAAAATCACACCCACTCATAAACACATAAATATTCACACAAAACAGACACATACTGTTGCACTCATGCACAGTTTTACACGCACTTACACAAACAATCACAATAGACCAAGATACAAAGGCAGACCAAGATACTTTTTGGAGCACAAGCACGCCCATATACACAAAGCTCATCATACATGAGCGCTTATCAGTAATTCAAGACGCATATCAGTTACTGGTGTTTCTGCTGCTTTCTGCATGCCGAGCGTCTGGGTGACAAAGTGACGGCAGCAGAACCATTATTTGCTGTCTTTGGGCTGTGACAGATGACAGCACATCACAGGGCAAGCAATTAAACCATAATTACACACACACATACACACACACAGCCTCTCCTGAAAAGTGTGGTTTCCTAGTGTGTAATTTCTAAGAGCTTTTGCACTCTGATACAAATACAGTGCAACATGATACACAGAGGTACATGTGCACAAACACGCGTGCATTCACGTGTGAGCACACACACACAGTGACACACAAAAGATGGTGTTATTGGTATGCTGTTGTGTGTGCAAATGAGACACAGCAGAAGAATGATACCAAACAGTTTATAGAAGAATTCACAAGTAGCGTGTCCATAATGTATTCATGTGCTGTCACTGCGGACAGCAGGAAAAAAGAGTTACAGCGGCGTGTGTCCTCCAAAGTCAGACACTGATGCAGCAAATTTATTTGGTGTTGTCACTCAAGCAAGCGGCCAAGGCAATGAAATGCTGGCATGACCCAATGTATTATAGCCTGGACCGAACCCCCCCCTCCCGTCCACCCCTCAACCCCCACCCCTCTGCCCCCCTAAGGGTGTCATCCAGAGCAGAGCCGGATCGCAGTTCACACAAGGCAAACCGGGCAGACAGTTTGTCTTAAATAAAGCCTTCAGATATAAAGGCAGAGCTGCCACTGGCTACCTGTCCTACCTCTGGAGGCCACCACTGCCCCTGGCCTGCCTGTTGCCCTGGCGACACCTCACTTACATTCATCCATCATGGCTGACAGGTGTCAGGCACAGCGAGAGATGGGCTTGTAAAATGCAAAGTCTGTGAAGGCAAAACTGGCAAGCAGACACACAGTTATAGTGAGACTGAGAGAGAGGGGAAACTCTCTCATTAGACCATAATGATGTGTGAAGACAGTCCTAATCAGAGCGTGGCACCTTATTTATGTTGGCAATTTGCTGTTTTCCTGCCGTGATGCAAACGTCCTACTGTCAGAGGCTGCCACACATTTGTCTTTCTGTTGGATTGTCAGCCCCACTGGGAAGAGCACACATGCACACACACCCCCTTACTCAGACACAGGAATATGCATATACATGGATAACTTGCCTGGTGTTTTGTTAAGAACTCTTTTGCTGATAACTTTTTAAGATACATTTCCCCTGTCCAGCTGTCTGGTGTCATGTCCAGCCACCTCTTTCAAGGATAGTTTTATAACAGACTCATGCATGACTCATGTGTCCTCTAATGTTTTACTTGCTGACATTTGTTCATACATATCACCACTTTGGATATGAATAATCTGCAGTCGGGTCTCATAAAAATTTTGCAGGTCTCGCTGTATCGAATGACTTGCTTTGCACTATTATACAGTTGTTGACATGGATATCCACCTGGTAAAGTCACTTCTGGCTCACTGCTTCATTAGATGGAATGTATCATTTTGTGCGTGTGTGTACTTCTGTTTGCGTGCATGTTTGCATATGTCTGTTCACATAGATGCCTGGGGCAGGTGATTCAGCCTGGGGCACAGTAGCATAAATAGAGCTCACACAGCAGCCAATCAGGCAGTACTATCAAACCCCATCCGTGGCAGGAGCGCAAAATCCATACTCAATAGAGATTCATGGACCATGCAAAATTCAAACTACCCTGGCCATTGACAGCATCCATGATGACTATTGATCAGCCAACGATTTCTGGCTCTATACAGATGTGATTAGATGACTTAGGGCTGAAAAGTGCCACTTCCAGTTTGGAGGATGAGCTCATTTTCGACTGATACCGTAATGCTCTGCATTTCACCTGCCTTCTTTACAGTCAGCCACTCTGCTCTGCTCTCTCCCAGTCGTTCAGCAGGAATCAAATTATCTATAGTGTCTGGTAGGATGGCACTATGCCCAGAATGCCCATAATATACAGTATATCGCTTGCATTTTGGATTCAGAGAGAAATACACAGCTCTGGTATGGCACTGGCACAATGATGGTGGTTTTTATCCCAGCTACTGCTATCTCTATTAAGATTCTTCTTGCTTATGTGCCTTTAAATAAGCCACAACTAGTAAAATTGTAACAGTGTAATTCTTGAGTGCATCTGAAGACTTAAGCAACGGTTGATGAGACATTATACATAA